TTCTAGTTTTTCTACCGCTATAATCGGTTTGAATCGAAACGAATAAATGTAACGTCAAAAACGAAAGCGCGTCAACACTAATAACAGAATTTAAAGTATCCATTTTGAAGTGCCTATTGAGGACAGCTTTGATTGCAATTTTTAAATTAAAAATTAATCTATAGGATCCATCTCGTTTAGGAGTGACAAAAATAGGGGATAAACATTCGCCCTGCTCATAACTAGAGGGGCTAACCACCCCTAAATCAAGCAACTTGTGAACCTCGTTATTTATAATATTAGATTCTTGGGCATTAAAATTCCTCTCGCTATGGATACTGAACAAACATGGATCTTCAGTAAATTCAATGTGACGATGATTCACAATATCTAGGACCTCTGGGTCTGTTGTTAGTTTTTCCCACTCCGAAAAATACTGGTTTGTTCTACCAGCAAAAAAGGGTTGTTGATCATTGATAATACATAATAACTTTGAATTATTTACATGCCAATTTGATGCCTTAGATGGCTTCTTATCAGATTGTTGATAACTGTTCTGCGACGTACGACTGATCTGCCTCGACCTCTGCGATAAACTCGTGAATAGGGGGCAAATCGGTTTCGCCCACAATTACTTGTATAAGTGGGCTGTCCTTTGCACACTTTGCTCCTTTGCAAATCTGCAATTTCCTTCACTCGTTTTGAAGTGTCCCCTCCAAAAAGGAACTCGTGGGCAGGGTTAGTAGAACTGCATAACCCTTTGGCGAATTCTACCTTGAACTGCGGTCTAATCGCATCTCAACGTCTTTGATTTATCTCGTAGTTGGCAGTCATAGCCAACGTTAACCCATCTAAGGCGGAGGTCAACAAATCCTTCGACGCTTTGGAATTTAGCAATTTATTCGTCACCTCTCATTGACAGTTAATGGCGGCTAACAGTATCTGTTGTGTAGTTTGCAATTTTGCATCAGTTCCTCGAGTACGAGTCGGCAACTGAGTCCAGATACTATTTTCACATTTCAGTAAGCGAACTTTAACATTTTCCGGCGTGCTGTGTCGCTTATAATAATAATAATAATAATAATAATAACTTTATTTATTTATATAGCCCTATTTCCATAAAAAGCCCAATAGTGCTTAACAATTAT